CCACGCACCCACCCACGCACCCACACGCACCCACACGCACCCACGCACACACGCACACACCCACCCACACACACACACACACAGAGACAGACAGAGACAGAGACAGACACACAAGCATCCAGCAGCTGTCGAGGCCACATTATTCCGCAACTCGAAGATGCTTCGGAATCCCGGGCCATTGCAATGGCAGCAAGTTCTGATTGTCCACCCGCCAACTCGACATTCCAACACCAGCAGTTGTTTCCAGGCTGCCACAGAGCCGAATCCTTTCCCGGGATTGGGGGCATTTGCATTGAACCAATGTGAACCTCACACTATACCGTCATTCCATGCGAGTCTGAGAACTCACGGCTTGAGGGCTTGATAGAATGATGCTGGAATTGCTTCATTTTGAGGGTCAGATTGTGCTCCGGCAGTCTGGAGCTCGAGAAACGCTTTGCAGTGGTACAGTAGAGCCCAAAGTCTCCTGCTGGTGTCAGCTGTGCAACTGTGTCCTATGTTTCTCATGTGCAAGAAGCGGCGAGCCCTTCTTCTCGAAGCCTCCAGACAAGTAGTGCGCAGTTGTGTGGACTATCCGAAAAGTAGATTGTGTTTCCAGAGCGGTGGGCTCCATTAATCAATTTGATTATGTATAGTGGGATTTTGTACAGTATCAATTATCAAGATGTTCCGTTGTATGGAGGCATCGTCGCTATGTGGCTGAGGGCTAACCTGCTTTCAGCAGCTCGGACGCAGCGGGCTGGCAAAATTTAACGGCAGGCGGGCTTGGGAGATTTTGGGACTTGGCGGACCGATGCAACCCTTGCATCAAGGCATTTGAGTTTGTGTTGTGGAAGAGCTTCAGCGAAATCCCAAGTGGTCCTCTTCATGGTTCGATTTTCTTATCAACAGCCCAGGTCTGCCCATTCGGCATTCACCGCGGCTGCGTCGGACTCTGCGGGCTTGCGAGACGAGAGGTCGAACTCTTCAGGCATGGTGTCGCATTCGCCTGGACGAGCACGGCTTCTCCGATGTGAACCTGGCCGCGCACAGCCTGTACATATTGAATCGAATTTGTGAGTCAGTTACTAAAGACGGGTGTAGATATCTGGGCCTTGCAGCGCAGACCGATGACATGTTACAGGCTTGACTGCAGCGAATGTCAGCACCAAGCTTCAGTAGCGGTCTCTGCCCGAAGCCGGAATGCGAGACTACATGGACTCAGCATCGTGAGAGTCAAGTCGATGCTGTATGCCTGCCTGTTTGGTATGGCTTGCCTTGCCAGCTTTGAATTCTGAAGCTGACGAACAGCGCACTGCGCTGCTCTGCAAAACAGATTCGCAGCAGAGCCGTTTGCGGGGATCTGCTTGTGGGGCATCGGGTTCAGCCAATGTCTGCAATACGAGCGCGGCAAGAATGATGAAAGCTCTCGTTGCCGATTCGGTGCAGACTTGGGAACAGAGCCGACAGTGTGAAGGAAGCGTTGTCTCCTGTCTCGAAGCATAGGAACCTCGTGTACAGTGTTCTAGTAGTGTTCTGGCATGCTTCGTGTTATGTTTCTTCCGCCTCACTGCTCCCAAATCAACCCTTGAGGCCGAAGTTACTTGATGTCGTCTTGTGTAGATCCGTCTTCAAAGAGTACGTGTGTTCAATGGCCGGTTGGAGGCTGTAGAACCTAGTGTCTGGCAGCTTCACTTTCATCACTTCTGTCGGCGGCTGCAGTGGATCGCTGCAGCTGCCCGGCCCTCCCTTGACTCGACTTTAAGTCCAGCTGTGCAGTGACCTGCACGGAGCCCTAAGCGTCATTTTCTCGCTGCCAAAGACGAGAGGATGCACAGCTCCGCGACTTCGACACACGTCCCACGTGGAGGCAGGAGGACGGCGTCTACCGCCGCGGCGGTGATTCTTGGCTGCATATGTTTTCAAACTCTTGACGAAGGGACAATGCAATTTCGTAGCTCTGGGCCGTCTTTGATTGAATGAGTGGTGCTTTGACTTGCCCACGTGGTTGGGTCCTGGACGGGGCTTGGACGAAGGTCCGGTGACAGGAAATCGGTAGGTGTTGATTTCGGAAAACCTGTGTTACTACACAGCGAGCGTCTCTGCAGTAATACGCTGACTAGAATCATGAGTACGTTTGAGAGTTTGAGACTTTTGAGGGTATTCACCTGCATCATGTAAGAGCCCCTTTGCTGCAAGGACCTCCTCATCGACTATGGATGCCCAGGTTGCCGGCTAGTTGTTTGCAACAGACTCTACGTGATCTGCTACTGTACTGTATTGTTTTCCTGCGCAAGCTGCTGCTGTGAGCTGAATTCAGCAGTTATGTCGGCAAGTGGCCGTCCGACCTTGAGTTGGACGGTTAGGTCCGGTGCTCGAGTCTTGCACAGCTCGATGTCAAGCTGACAGGTTCCATGCTCTGGCAGCTCCTGCCCAACATTCGAATCGTACATGTTGAGGACAGACTCCCGCAGCATCTGAATGCGCAGGAGGGGCAGACAGCAAGACCATTGTCTACCACAACCCGTTCAACAATGGTATCGTTCTAAGAACTGCTCTGTCGTTATTGGGCTGAGCACTTTGGCACGAGGGTTGTGTCATGAGAGTCCCTAGAGGCCTTGTGTTGCAGACTTGCAGACGGCACACTCGGGAAGCTTGGGTCGTTGACTATGAAGTGTGGCCATGGTGGCTGTCCGCGGGTGCTGCCAATACCTACCATAGGTACATTTCACCCTTCCTATGGCTTCCAGCTACGCAGAATGACAGTGACATTCAGTGCGAGCCAAGGATGCGGGATGAGAGAGAGAGATGGGGGAGGAAGAGACTCTTGCTCGTTCATTCTTTCTTTATGAACTGCTGTTTTCTCACCTCCTCTAAAAGCCCCGAACACAGAGGTGCGCCATCGGCGCAAGGAGTCTCGCACCCACCCTGTGCCCCAGAGAGGGGGAGAGTGCGAGAGAGAGGGACCCTGGAAGACCCAATTACAGCTTGCTGCTGGTTACTCATGGTTTAGCAAAACCTTGTTTGCTTCTGTCGTATGCGGAAGTGGGATTGCAGCTAGTGCTTCCCCTTTCAAGCTTTGTCGCCAGCCATTCTGGCAAGCAGTTTCCCTGAAGAGTTCTCATGAACGAAAGCTACAAACATGGCTGCTTAGCGGGAAAGGCTGCATCAGCTCACGGCTTGAGCATCTCTCTTCTTCTTCTTCTTCGGTGGGGGGTGTTTTGTGGGATGGGCTCACAAGCTCAATCGGTGGAGCGCGTGCTTTCTCTCTACCCTGGAAAGGGCTACAAAGATCTTGCAGACGCGAGCTGTTGTGGGGGTCGGCCTCGGGGCCAGCGGTCCTCCAGGGCCTCATACAGCAAGCAAGCAAGGAAGCAACAGGGAGACCCTTGTCCCCAGCCCTGGCGAAAAACCAACACAGCACAACTTAGACAAGATGAGAGTGGGGCCCTGAGTGGGGGAGAGCTGCAGCTTCTTCCGCGTCAGACCACTGCTTGCTTGCCGTTCATGTCCTGTACTTGAACCTTGTATATGATATGTGTATATATATATAGGTATGTAATGTACATGTATGTACATATATACACACGTATATATATATGTGTGTGTGTTCACTGCACATACATACATACATACATACATACATGCATACATACATGCATACATTCATTAATTCATTCATGCATTCATTCATTCATTCATTCATTCACTCATTCATTCATTCATTCATTCATTCATTCATTCATTCATTCATACATTCGTACATTCATACATACACATATATGTACATGTGAGTATGTATGTGTATACATATATATACACACACATATATATATATACACATTATACATGCCGTGCCCGATGAAGTGGCTGCCAAGGAAATCCTGCCCAACGATCCGCTGAAGTCGAGGGCTTCCTCGTCAAGTCCGGGATTCGGCGGGCCGCTGGCCATGAATAATCTCGTTGATCTCTGTTATGTTTAACAGTTTAACACCTTCTTGTGCCGGCTGCCTTGTGATACATGTGCATCTCGAAGCATGTCTTTTGCAAGCGACACTGCGTGAGACATTGCATGGATAGCTGGAGATTCGAATTCATCAAGTGCCTGCAGTCCACCCGTTTCTGCAGCCCACCGATATGAACCCACGCCTGAAACCTCTGATGCGATCCGCATTCAGGTCTTCAGCGGGCACCAGCCGCATGGAGAGAGCCCCACAGTGGTGAGGCATGTTCGTTCCGGACTACTCGTTGTCACCGCAGATACATCGCACCTCGGTCCAAGCAGGATGACAGGATCATACAGGGTTGCAGTCGCTCTCCGCAGACTTGGACTGCTCCCTTCGACTATAGTGGCTAGTCATTTGTTTGCAGCCGCCGTGGCTGGTCGGCTCCATAACTCTGATCTCGGACTGTGCCCTTCACTAGCTTTGTGAGGTACTCCAACATGAGTGTCCTCGGCTTAGCTGCACCTGTGCATGTCGCAGCAGGGAGCCTGTGGGCCTTGTGAAGCGTTTGAAGTGCTGTCGGTCTCGGTTCAGATAGAAGTGAGCAACTCGTTGATCCGAGCTCGCCTCACATCTAGGTCACGGCAGGCGTCTTGCCTGTCAAACCTCACCCGGCATGAACAAATCAGGACTTGTGTTGGGATTTGCCTCAAGAAGCGCATCCAGACGCATCTCCGTAGCAGATCACGAACTGACCAGCCTTTACCTCCGAAGTATTCCGCTCCATGCACACCTTCGGTGCAACACATCTAGAAAGTGTAAATGTCCGGAGTCGTGAAGCTTTTCGAGTTCTCCGAGAATGAGCAGCCTGCAGTGGAAAACATCACGAAGCATGTCCGTGAAAGGAAAATAATGTCCTGCGCTGTTCGACAGTCAAGGGATCGAGGACTAAGGAGGAGACGGTTCATCTTTCTCAGTTGAAAGTCTGTGCTTCCAAGGCTTGGCTTTGGCTTTGAATTTTGTCCATCGGAGGCCTTGAAGCTCTTCAACCAGGCGAACAATCGTGGAGAAGTGGTCACTACGGTGTGACCTGCCTCCTTCAGTTGCTCTTTCCGGGGTGAATCCTCACTCCTCGGGTCTTCAGAGGTCGAAGGGCTCTTGCTGCGTCTCGCGCTGTGTAGAGTGATCGGGTTGGCGTGTAGAGTGAGGCTATAGTGGGTTACGAATCCGACGTCTTCCGTGCATCGATGCTCTGAGGCGTTTGGCCGGAGAGGAAGTTCATTTGGAGGCCGGGTTCTTACAGGTTGAAGTTTGTCCTGAGTGAGGCTGAGGCATACCTGATCTCGGAAACTGGAAGGTTAAAGTTTAGGACAGAGGGGTTCGTGAAGTGCATCGCCAAATTCGTGCCAAAGTTGCGTAAACAAGCTTCTGCGATTTGAAAACGGGGGCAACTGTTGGAATGCTTTATCCACAAATTGCCCGTTCAAAGCGCCGTGCTGCAGAGGGTGTTCTTCGCGACGGGACGAAGCACAAGTGCACTTTGCACTGCGACCCGATGAAGGACCGACGACAGGAGCAAGAACGCAGAAGTGTGATAACTTAGCAGGTAGTGCATTCAGTCGAACTATAAGTTACTATACCTTTCGTGCTGTTGGAGTTCGATATGGTGGAAAGCATCGTCTTCTGGTCAAACTGGGTGCAGGGGCGCAGCGACTGCGATTCTTCGGTATATAAATAGCAGACGACCCAGGCCCAGAGCCAAAATCATGCAAGCACAACTCCAGGCTGAAAGTCAGTTATGGACCATAGGGGTGGTGCAGCGCGGCTCCTGCCAGGACGAAATGCCAGATGCTTTAGCCCCTGCCTCATGGGATTCCGAGATTTAGGAACAGGGATTTCGACATTCCGTACAGGCGTATGCGGAGTGACATGCATACGTCGCTGATGTGCTTGGCTGCTGCTGTTCTGCCACACAGCTCGAGGTCGGCTGTCAGCTGAATGATGGGTCTTGGGTGAAGACGGAGCCTTGCCTTACACTCCTGCCGGCAGGAGCTTTTTGTATGTTTCCTTGCATAGAACTGCCACGGCCTCTTTTGACTTTACACCTCCCTCACACTGCCTTAGGCCATGCGGCTTTCATGTTTCGCACTACATTTGCTGCTTGCTCTCTGATCGCTAGTGCCGCAGCTTAGTTTTCTCGTCGAAACACCTGAGGTGTTGGAGGATGGGCGTGTGCTTGCTGCACTGGGGAAGCGGTTTCAGGCCCCACAAGATCGCTGGAAACAGAATCGCACTTTTCGTTCGTTTCCAGCCACTACGCTTGGCAGACCCACATGCTCGGCAAGTCGAGTCAAGTGTGGATGCATGGTCAGGTCAGTGTCCAGGCCATGCACCCGGGCAAGGCGTGTTTGATGCTCAAAAGTGCCGACAGCTCAGTTTCTGACCGGCACCCGCAAACGTGAATTAGTCCACGAGAATCAGATTCAAGGTACTTTTCGGATGGCCATGAGTCACGAGAAGAATCGACTGGGACAAAGGAAACGGAGCAGCGAATGCAGAAAGAACATGTCGCGGTCGTGGTACTCGCATTCGCATTCCAAGCCTAGGGCCTAGCTAAGCGTCAGAGCCTGAAGCTCAGCACATCGGCACATGCCAGGACTACCCAGCCAAAGCTAAACGACCAGGGTGTCAGAGCGAGAGAGAGAGAGAGAGAGAGAGAGAGAGAGAAAAAAAAAGAGCGCGACGAAACCCAGGTCTACTCCGAAGAGCGGCTGTCGGTTAGTCTGAAGAATCTTTCGGCACCTCAGTCAGCATTGCACCGCGGGATCTGCAGCCTGTGACAGCTGGTTTCCGGTCGGGGTGATGGCTAAGTGTAGAGATTCCAGATTTAGGGCTAACAGCTTACACGGGAAAAGCGGCTTCGTGTTCGGGCTGAGCGTGTTTCTGCCGCCTTCAGGGTTTCAGAGATCGACAGGGCGTTGGCCAAACAGAACTTCATCAAGTGGCTTTGTCTTCGCCGTTGTAGCCGCCAGTTTATTCAGCCCCGGTTCATCAGAGATGCCCCCTGAAAGCTTCACCCTGGCTTTCACATGACAAGCTTCGGCCCTGTGAGACCCTTCCAACCTTGCTGTGACTGCTGTGCATGTAAGTGTACTCTTTCCAACTGGGAGCTGGAGGGCCTTTCCAAGAACCAGGTACTGTAGGAGGTCTGGTGCAGTTGCCTGGATCTAAGGATAACCCAGAACTATGATACACTATTTTGGGGGGTTCGATGTTATAACTATAGTATAACGGGCCCCAAACCCTAGTCCAACCATTAAATGCCCCTTTCCATCTAAGGCTGAATGGCTTCTGGAATCCGAGCTTGAGGCGCCTGCTGATTTTGGAAGGATCGTGCCTAGGACCAGCTTTGCCAATATCACCACGACCAACAACAGAAGCAGCTGCGGTATCGGTGGTATCGGCATAACTGCCAAAGATATGGAAGCCTTATGCTCAGGTTCTTGCAGGGGCTGTTTTTTTGGTATGGTTGCTCGGCGATGACATGTCTCAAGTTGCAAAACTCGGAGGTGTGTGCAGGCCGTTGGTGCTGATGTGCACGCGCACTCATTGCACGCTCCGTTCCCTGAAAGAGTCCCAAAACATGTTTCAGATCAGATCGCTCTTGAAGCGCTCTTCAAACACTGCCAGTGTGGGTCCAGATTGATCCTTTTTGTTAGCAACTAGCAAGCCCTGAATTTGGGAGTCTCATTTTGAGACCTTCGATTCGATGGAAAACAGCTCGGATTGAAGCTGTGTCACCATAGCAACATGTGTGGTGTCTTGTGTGGCAGTACGGATTACTGGTGCGCGAAGAACCTACCACATTGCATGAATTATCATAAAATACTGTACTACACTATGACATAACGAAATATATAGTGTTATGATTGAGAGCCATGCGCGAGGTGCAGCTCTGTCCCGGGCCTGAGCCGAGCGGTTCGGAGGGAATCGAGAACTCGCCGCTCGAATGAGTCACCGATTCTGCCTCTTGTCAGTTGCTGTGTTCAATTCTGCAGCTTGTTGCTGGCATGGCGTAAATGTGCACCATGGGCATCTGCTTCTTGAGCCTTGCAACGGGGATCAAGATTGACGACGAACCAGCTACGGAAACACACGAGCAATCAGCTGGACGGGAATAGGCACCGTCTTCAGTGTGTGCAGTATCGTGGGACGCAGGCATGTGACACTTTGTTACGACTCTTGATGCCATCTGTGCACTGATCTGATGATGTGAGCGAGCCCTTCCCTGGCAAGCACATTGCTTCGTGTGATCGAGGTACAACGCGACACAGTTCAAGCGTGAGGACCGTTGAAGCGGTTGCCGAGCTTGCACCCGTTTCTTAGAAGCTGTTGTTAAGGATATCTCTAAATACACGCCTTTGCAGTCAAGCTCCCAGCCTTTATCGGTTGCGGTTGAGGCATTGGGCTGTGTGTCTGGGTGCTGTAGCTTGCAACGAGAGGAGTTCGACAGTGCCGAGACCTACATCTTTGATGGTCATGGCCACATGGCTAGCTATCCATATTTGCATCGACTTGCGCGGCAAGTTCCGGTGTTTCAGGACGTAAAGTCCAAGACAACACTTAGAACTGCAACCTTGCAAAGCCCGAGGACAGCAGTTGATCATACGATTCCACACTTTTGAGGCACTGGCGCTTTGCACCCTCCAACGACTGCCCAACAAAGGGTGATTCACTTTTGTTCAGTACCAGGCGCGGCTCAATCCTCGAACTCTATTTACTCATCAAATTAATCAGCAACTACTCTTTGTAGATTCATTGGGAGTCTATGGTTGTTTATCCGCAGCAAACATCGGAGAATTCTGGCGCTGTTTTGACTCTGTTGTGAGTACAGCTGTTCGCACGCTGTGGGATTGGCTACAGTGGCTTTAGGGAGCGATCGTCCTGCATCTGCGACAGTTCACACGAGCCCAGGCACCCTCTGGGGCGTGCGCGGCCAGTCGCAATCCATGTCCAATATGGATTTGGAGAGGCAGGTGGTGGACAACGCGCCTGTGCAGCACGCAGAGGAGGAAGGGTTTCGTCCCAACACGGGGACGACCAGCGGACCGCCTTGTTCTCTTGGCTGTGCTGAAGGGAGATAGAGATATGGGTCGTGAGGCGTCATGTGACGGTCGGGTGGAGGCAGTTGGGCTTCATTGAAGTGGTGAAGCACTCGTGGCCCTGCTGTTGCCCGGTTGCCCCCTGAGTGTCGGTCCATTTGTTGTTAAGGGAGATGAGGGTTTCGGATGAGACGGAGACCACGTTGCAGATCTCATCTCACTGACAGTTCGTCAGGGCTCCACGGGGATTCTGAGGCACACAAATGCCGTGAAGGTGACTGTGATAGGGTGAAGAGGACGTTAGTCGTCGCAGGGACGTGATGTACTTACCCTGGCGCAGATGCCGCTGTCTGCCACAACGAACCCTGCGGTCCACCAACAGAGGGGCGTGCTTGCGTGGGGTGTCGCCCACCCAGGCCCTGCAAAAGAGAAACAGACAGACTTAGTTTGCAGAGACATGGACAGAGACCTGTTAGCAGTGGTGCAGGCCAGTTCAGGCAGTGTCCAATCAGGCCTTGCACTTCCGGTGTTTCGTGCTGGCTCAGGTGAACCAGCTCATCCTTGCAGCATGGCGGGAAAGCAAGGGCACAGGGATGATGTCAAAATGCGCTGGCAAAGCACAAACCGAATGGCCGCCAAATGTGGCATTCTTTGTTCATGAAGGTTGTTAAGACGAAGTTTTCGATAGCAACCCACGATCGAAAGCCGGGGGGAGGGTAGCCTGAGTGCCTGTGCTGTAGTAAATTTCGTTGCAGAGTCTCAGAAAACGGATTACGATTGCCAAAAGCAGTGTGGCTTGAAACAAATTTCAGCTACTCTTTGCAAGGCTGGCAAGAGAGTCATTTTTGCCACCAATGATTCCAACTACTCCCGGCGGATGTACATCGACAGGCCCTTTGCAATGACGATCAGAAGTCGGACTCGCATGGCGCTTTCAGTGCCAGGCTTTTGAACCACGGAATCCAGCTGTGTGCCAACGACGAGCACTCCCGGAAGCTCGCGCGACAGAAGGTCGGGTTTCCGAGCGTTGGGCGTAGGATCCCAACGTAGAAATGCCTTGGATAATGTTAGCATGTTTGGAGTTTGGATATGTCCCGAGACGATTCACAATTGCAGCAGCAGTACTGTAGCTGATTTGCCATAGCCATTGCCACGGGTGAGCCGCCTGCACTTGATCGTGGTCTACATCGCGGGGACTTCAGTTCAAGCCTGATCTGCCCTCCGAACGCTTCTCCGATCCGAACAGTCAGCAGAGCTTAGTCTATGCCATGCTTCTCGCGTTCCGGCTGAAGCGAACGATGAATAATCAGACTTGGGAGTTAAACTCGTGCATGCGGGTCAACGAAAGGCGAGCATCTGCTTTGGAGCTTGATCGAGGTTGCTTGAGTTGTCTTGAGTTTCAGGTAGTTTATCGGGCAGGAAAGCTTGGGAGGCTGCTTGGAAGGGCCGCCCTTGCACAGGTGATTACAGCATCTTTTACCTGCGCATGGTTCCTGAAGAAGGCCGCTCTGCTTCAGAGAGTCTTTGAGTTCCCGGTGAGCACTAGAAGCAACACACCGCCGGAACATCGAAGAGTCTCAGGCTGATGAAGCTGCCATCTAGTTAGGCCGCCACCAGTTGCTCGAGCTCTGCTGCATTTAATGTATAGGCGGCTGCATCACCTTCATTCACTTTCAGCAACCTTCAGAGCTGCTGCCACTAGACATCACTGGGCACGGTTCGGCGACCACGGCTAGCATGCGATCTCTGAGGCTCTAATCCGAAAGCCCTTCGTGATCTGCTCTCACTTGGGCCTTCTGGAGGAGAGGTGTGGAGCAATTCGAAAATGTACTGCTTCAGTCGGTTTCGTTTTGGCCTACGCCGTTGGCCAGCGGCTGACTTTGACCAAGTGTGTGATCTTATGCCAGGGTTTGCAGGGTCATCGTCCAGTCCAACAGCCCCATATCGTGCTTGTTGGAAGAGTTCTGGAAACGAAACGTCGACGTGCGACAATGCAACTTCACAGGTCATCGGTCATCAGGGCAACTATCGGCATCTACGGGTTCTACAAGGGATTGAACATGTCGTTGGTGCGGGTTGAAGTTCGGGGTTTAGGATGTTTAGGGTTTGGGGGGCTGGGGGCTTAGTGTCTTCGGGCTTTGTTTGCAGGCAGGGTGGAGGGTTTAGGGAATGCTTTGGCTTTGGGGTCCAGGTCTTGTCATGAGGGTTTAGGGGATTTGTTGCTTTGGTGTCCAGGTCTTGTCATTGCTTTCCGGCTTGCCTGCCCTCCAGAATGGAACGATCGAGGTTGCTTTTTGAATGCCATGGGTTCGCGGGCCGTCATGAATGCACGGCTGCCGAAACAAGGGATTCCCTAAACCCTGTTGATGTTACGAAGTCCCTGTATTGCCACATATTAGGATACTTTGTACTCTAGACTTGCAAGACTTTATTCTGTTTTCCTGCGCATAAGCAACCAACCAGTCTCCCCGAATCTATTTGCACTCTGAGGAGTTGAAGGAGGCGGGTATCACCGAGTATGTCGCCTCTCGTCGTGATACAGCTCATACTTTCTTGGACCCTAACTTTCAGGATCGTCAAGCCCCATCTCCCGTAGAATGCACCACCAACGGCAGCTGGTTGGTGAGCCAAAATCTGAACAAGGGTAGACAGAGTGGCGTCCAAGTCGTTGCTGTTGGGCTTTCAGCCCCGGGAGTCACCGTTCTTCTGACATTCTTGGGCCAGAGGCCATGACACGGAGATTCAGCCGACTGTCAGAGGCCACCATCGACGAGGACGGCTGCCCAAAGCCGGAGTACTCCAAGCCTGTAGCTTGGCTGCGAGAATTCTCCTGTGTCTTGTTTTTTTTTTACGAATTTTGTTCAGCCTGGCATCAATCTTCACGGCCTGTCACGAGCCGATTTGGTACGACACCATACTTCTCGGTATTACTTCCGATGAGTATTGAAAGCGCTGTTCTTTCTCGTGCGGTGCGGTATCACCCCTAACGCCCCTACACCTGCCTGCACACCCCCTGTGCCCTCCACCCCTTAACTACGCCCCCACACCCCTGCCCTACACCTATACACCCTTTCAATCCTGGGTGTAGGAGTGCAGGGTTGCCGGGGTGTCGGGGCGGAAGGTGCGGGGTGTTCAGGAGTAGGGACAGGGGCGTAGGGGTGCAAGAGTGTAGGGGGTGGGGCGTTGTGTGGGGGGTAGGGAGGGGTTTTGGGTGTAGGGGGTCAGGGGGTGTCCAGGTGGGGTGCAGTGTGGGGGGTAGGCGTGGAGGGGTTGGGGGTGTGGGGGTGTAGAGTGGAGGGGTGTGGGTGGGGATGTCGGGTAGGGGTTGGGGTGTAGTGTGGAGGGGGTTGGGGGTGTAGGATGGTTTAGGGCAGGGGTGTCGGTGGGGTGTAGTGTGGGGGTGTATGGGAGTAGGCAGGAAACGGTTTGGTCTAAGAAATATTGTTGTAACGCCCATGAACCCTTATAGAAGCTAGAGTACCTAGAACTCCTCCCGAGAAGGTGGGCAGTCTCGGGCCGCATGGAAACCCAGGTGACGAAGGACAACGTGACCGAGCTTGTCGCCAGGATGCATCGTTGCCAAATATACAAGTTGTCCAGAAGCCGCAGGGAGCATCATCTACATGAAGGTGTACGTTCTTTCCTTGACGCTGACTTGATTTCGGATTTGTCGTGCCTTGGGCTAGCTTTTGCGCAGAGAGAGTCCTGAATGCAAGTTGCTCGCCAGCATGCAGAAGACACGTATTTGTGCTGCTGTAGGGTTGCAACAAGCGGACTTCACAAACCGCTTAAATCTAATTCATGGCACTTCGGAGGCAAGTAGAACAAAGTTTGCAAGGTTCATCGCTCCAAAGATGTCGATGCGATCGTCGCAGCTTGGGTGCAGCGGACATTTCGGCGATACCGTCTTTGTGTTATCCTTGTTTCGTTGACTCCTGCTGGATGTCTACTACAGCGCTGGTAGCCCGTTCTCTAGCGACAGAGTGACGACCCATGCTGTGTTTCATCCAGATTGGTGTCCAGCAAGGTAGGCTGGGACCAACAGCTCACAGCTCTCAAAGTGGCCGTCGCTGCAGCCTTCCTCAAGTTCAGCCGCGAATGTGCCACTTGGCGTTATTTAGTTTCTTCTGGTTTCACAGTGTCTTTTGCTACTGAGGATACACCTTTGCAGGTTAAGAGAAAGCTTTGGGCACCCGGCAAGCTTCATTGGACCATGCATGACTGTGGAAATAGTACAGTCAAAAAGCTTTCCATGCACTTGAACCTTTCTGTGATACAGAGACATTGGCAAGATGAGCAGCTTGGGCTGAAGGGAACCGCGCTGAGGCAGAAGAGGGGCAGAACGTGATGCAGATTGTGCCGCTTGACGAGAGTGTCATAGGTCCCCACGAAGCCTATCAACGGAATCGGGCCACACTATGGATCTTACAAGAACAGCCGCGTCAAGGAAAGAGTGTAGTTTTCGGCCTTGGCAGGCCTTCCGAAGTTTCTATAGTAGCCTCGGCCGCATGGCTATAGTCCAGACACACCAAGCACCGGAGTAGCCTTTGCTCTGCTCCGAGGCAGTGCTCATCTGATCATGCAGGGGCTCCCCGGCTGCCAAGACAAGCGAAAGTCCTGGCTGTACCCAGGCCCAGTCTGAACTCAGAACAGGCCTTCTGCCTCAAAGGACAGATTCCAACCTGGTGCATCGATCAAGTCGGATGTCATGGCAGCCAGTCCAGCCTTCTGCGTCGAGGTCCTGGGTGTTACCGCAGAGGATTTCCTGCCTGGACGCAACTGGTGCAACCGGAGCATTCCGGCCGTTCCTTGTCGCCACAGAAAGTCGACCTCCCATGTTTAGGGTTTAGGGTGTGGGAGTGTGGGACCATCAGACTAGCAGCGACTAGCAGCGACTGGCACAGCCAACATGTGGCAGAAGCCGATGAGACTGCCCGCGGCATGTGTTGATGGATTCTGCAGGGGAGCTCATCAAAGGTCGGCAATGGAACCATGTGCCAAATGATTTGCAATTCCGTGGGCGCAGACATCCAGGCACCGTCGGCCACAGGGATGACCGGATAGGAGGACAGATTGCATGTAGTTCGCGATCGCCCTGCGAAGGCTGTCCCCAGTTTCCTTGAATCTCTGTGGCTTTGTTTACCGGCACGTCAGCTGCCAGATTGTGTGACCATGGTAGGTTTTACGTGAAGACTGTGCGTGCAGCATGGAGCTCTGAGTCAGATTCTGACTCAATGACCTGCGGAGGCCATTGACGTGGGAAAGCCATCGGAAGCTCGGGTAGATGGCTGCTTCGGGATTGGAAGATTCGGGCTCTGAGCGCAGGCGACTGGTGATACATGCCATGCAGTAGCACCGGCTCACACACATGTCCCATAAACCGACGTGTTCCTGGATGGGCGGAGAGCATGGTGGGCGTTTGTGTATGTGTGCATACTGAATAATTACAAACCGTCGCTGCAATCCGGCCATTCCACCTAATGCCAGACTGGACTTGAACAAACGGTGATTCTGTAACTCTCGCAAGATCCTTTTAGAAAGACATTGCCACTTCGAAACCAAAAAACACATCTTAGAACCTGGAACCCGAGTATAGACGCCGACTCCATTCTGAGGAAGTGCTGATTGAGGCTTTGCGCCGGCCTGTAGAAGAGGAGGGCTACGGCACCCTGGCCGAAGGGGTCGTCTCAAGGATAATCAAGAGCGTAACAAAAAAAGGTTAAGACGGTTAAGAGTTAAGAGCAATATAGAGTAGACCCCTTTTGAATATCCGCTCCTTCAGCCCGCACAGCACACCAGCATCTGTGCAGAATAGTTGAGACAGCCACGATCCCACGAAAATCCTAGCCAGACAGTGCTGTTCTCAAGGCATTTCATTTATTCCTTTGGCTCGTTCGTGGTGATCTCCTCCCCAACATCGCATCATCATCACCACAGGTCACCACCACTTTGTTCATCATGAGCATACGCCTCATGACTTCAAAAACACATTCGCCCGTTGACCCGAGGCGTTGAGCTTGACAAGGCGGTGATTGTGCCTGGGCGGCCCAAGAGTTGTGCCTTCGGAAGCTCAAGCCCCGTCAAGGCTTCTTTGTCCTAAGTCCTACATTCCAGGAGTTGGTAAGAGTGCCCATTCCGACCCCTGCAGGAGTCGATCTGGGAGTTGCTAAGTCTGCCAATGTAAGCAAGAAAGAGGCGATGAATCCCAGCAGGTTGGTGACACCCTGAACACCGACATTGAGCTGGCAGTCAGGAGCGGCATGCGCTCGCTGCTTGTCCTGAGCACCCTGGCATCTTGATTGGACTCTGTAGGCTCATGTCAGGTATCCTTAGCTTGTGTAAGAGTTCTATAGCTGGCATGACACTTCCGCATCACAGCTGCATGCAGCAAGCAGCACCCGGGGTGCAGCGTTTTGTCCTCATGAAGCTTCACCCCTGCTTTCACCGGTTCTGGTATCGCACTTGACCTGTGCACCTGAAGTCGAAAGGACAGCGCTCCTAACAGTTGAATTTTCTGCGACAAAATCTGCAGCAAGGCGAGCTGTAGACTATAGACATCCTGAACAGTTGCAGGGTGCATGAGCGTACGGTTCTCTAGGCATTGTAAGCATGCAAGTGTACGCCGCTTCATGTCTGTACGTATGTCAAGGTACCTCTATGCGCAGCTTCTTGTTCTTGATATTGTTCTTGATATTGTTCTTGTAGTTGTTGTTGTGGTGGTTGTGTCGGTGGTGGTGGTGGTGGTGGTGGTGGTGGTGGTGCTGCTGCTGCTGCTGCTGCTGCTGCTATGTGCTGGTGCTGGTGCTGGTGCTGGTGGCGGTTGCTGTTGCTGTTGCTGTTGTGGTCGTGGTCGTGGTTGTGTTGTCGTCGTTGTCGTTGTTGTAATTAAACGTTTGTTGCTGCTGTTGCTGCTGTTGTGGCTGTTGTGGCTGCTGCTATTGCTGCTGTTGCTGCTGCTGTTTTAGTAGTAGTAGTAGTAGTAGTAGTAGCAGCAGCAGCAGCAGGAGTAGTAGCAGTAGTAGTAGTAGTAGTTGTTGTTGTTGTTGTGGGTTGTTGTTGTGGGTGTTGTGGTTGTGGTTGTTAAGGTTTTGATTGTTGTTGTTGTTGTCGTTGTCGTTGTCGTTGTCGTTGTGGTCGTCGTGGTTGTGGTTGTTGTTGTTGTTGGTGGTGGTGGTGGTGGTGTTGCTGCTGCTGCTGCTGCTGCTGCTGCTGCTGCTGCTGGTTCTGCCGCTTCTGCTGCTGCTGCTGCTGTTGTTGTTGTTGTCGTCGTTGTGGTCGTTGTCGTTGTCGTTGTTGTTGTTGTTGTTGTTGTGGTTGTTGTTGTTGTTGTTGCTGTTGCTGTTGTTGCTGTTGTTGCTGTTCTTGCTGTTGTTGTTGTTGCTGTTGTTGTTGACTCTCTGTGGATATTACTGTACATATACACGCACACACAGGCACACGCACGCGCGCGCACACACATGTGAGTATTGGGTATATATCGATATGTACACACACACATATATATATATATATTCATTTCTATTTATTTTTATTTTTTATATTTGTTTATTTTTTATTTACACTTTTATTTGCAGTATATCCACTATATGTATATATATATACACACATATATATAGAGAGAGAGAGAGAGAGATAGTTATTTAGAATTTAGTGCGTTCGTCGTTCGTTACTTAGTTAGTTCACAGAGTTTCTCTACTGCCACTTGTGAGGAGTCGTGCTCTTGCTCCCGCACTGGCTTTTGCTCCTGCTTCTGCTGTGTCTCTTGCGCCTGCTCCCGCTCTTGCTGTTGCTCCTGATTTTGCTCCTGCTGTTGCTCTTACTCCGCTTTTGTTTTCGCTTTGCTCTTGCTGATGCTCCCGCTTTTGCTCTTGCTCTTGC